GGGATCTGGGTGCGTTTTGCTCCAAAATTCGTGTAAACATGTCTTGGTTTAAGTGCTTCCTTAACACCAGGCTTTACTGGGCAGGAGCTGATTTCAGCAAATGCACTACAAGGTTTCTGCCTGCTAGAGCTCTTATTAAGTGTCAGAACAAAATGGGCAAAAACTCACTGGTAAAAGGAGCCTGGCTGACAGCAGTGGAGAAAAGTGGCCTTTATTCATCTCCTGAACAGGTACATTCAGCCAGGCAGCCATAAAAGCTCCATGCTTCCCCCAGCCCAGCCCTGGAGGACAATCTGCAGAGATAGAAGAGAAGTTGAGTCTCACAGCCCGGCTACCAAATCCATTCAGATCACCATAAATAACAGAAATGTGGTTTTTTCGTGGGTTCTCTAGAGAACATCTTCAGCTGAGATACCAACCTGGGGAAGGGGAGCTGCAGCTCCAGCTCACCTGGGCTGAGCAGAGGCTCCTAAAAGGCATAAATTTGGCTTAATTCCCTCTCAGTTTGAGCTGGGCTTTGCAGCAATGCTGCAGAACCAGAAATTCGTATTTCCAGCCTTGTTTACTAAACCCTTACACTCGTTCTAAACATTCCCCTTTCACCATTTTAACTGTGTTTCTAAAACCCAACCAGAAAATGCAGTTTTTTTCTCCTCTCCAGCCCTCACCACCCCACGTGTGTTCAGACCCACCACGGAGCCAACACACCTTTTAAATCTTGAAATAAATAAGTTATCACTGCCCAAGGATCCAGCAGCCTCCCCCATCACCTCCCCCTGTTCTCTCCTCCCCAGCTGCGTTCCCTGAGCACAACGGGAGCCTGGGCAGAGCCAAAAGCAGCAGGAGGTTAAACAGGGAGAGGGAAGAGCATCTTCTGTTCCCTGTGCCCACGGGAGAGAGCTCTCCTCCCATCTTCCCCCATTCCCATTATCCTGCCATCAACAATGAGGCACAGCTGTGGTGACGATGCCAGAGTCCTGGTGTGGGGCTGGATAAGAAATTCTGCTGGTCACACAAAGGAGAGAATTCCTGCTTGTCACCAGCAGCAAAGCTGGCACAGGGGAACCAGGATTTTGACTCTGAGCCCTCAGGCTGGGCACACCTGGCATCAGGGCACAGAGCTTTTCCTGCCTGGTGGAGGCTCAAATAATTGATAAGAGCTGTCAGGGAAGGTTGGGATGAAGGCCACAGTACCCACACACCCAGAGCAGAAGCTTCTATTTATTCCTGCAAAGCCCCTGCGAATCAGGACGACGGTCACATCCGCACTTCAGATTTAATTCCTTAAATAATGGATTGTTAGGAGGGCTGAGAGCAGCAGGGAGACAGCTCTGAGACACCACGGCCGTGCCGCAGCTCCAGGGAGGCCAGGGCAGATCCTGGATCCAGATCCAAGCCTGTGGAAAAGCAGGACCTGCCCAAGAGCAGGGGCAGGGAGCTGTTGTGAAAACCCCAAGGCCTCCCTGCTGACAGTGATGGAGATCCCTGATTATCCCCAGCGAGCACCAGGCTCTGCTCGGGGAAGGCAGAGCAGGGGACACAATCAGGAGAGAGGATGGGGAACAATGGGGATGAGGTTTGATAAAACAAAAGGGATCGAGGCGTGTGGGGATGAAGGCTTGGACAAAGCTGAGCCTCTGCCGGGGGCTGGAGGGGCTCTGGCAGGGATGTGACACCCTCAGAAGGGCTCAGAGCATCCCCAGGGCAGAGACTGCACTCCCCACACCCCAGCAGGGCTGGAACCACCTCCCCCTCGCTTTCACAGCCAGCAGAAATGCTCACAGTCTCTCAAAAGAAGACAAACAAAGCGGGGGGAAGCGATTCATCGCCTTCTAAAGATGGTTCTCCTGGAGTCTGTGGAAGTTCAAGGGGTAAAATAGGGCAGTGGGCATGGCTGGCTGCAGCTGAGCTGCTTCCTTCCTTTTTTCTGCCCTTCCTGGGGTGCCTTTTTTCATTATCTGCATGGAAAGGGTGTTCTGGTAACCAGAGGAGAGATGAGAGCACAAATTTAAATCCCTTTTCAGAAGGAATCCTTGCAGAACCCAAAGCTTGGTGCACACCAGCACTGTTACAGCCAGGCTGGAAAGACTCCAGATCCACCACAGGGAATCCACAGTTGTCTCTTCCTCACTGGTTTTCATTTTTTTGTCCAAAAACCCAATTCTCTACCCTCCCCAAAGAACTGGGAACCAGTGTCAGGAGCAGCAGGGAGACTTTGGCACAATGGGGTAGAGAACATCCTTTATTTCTGATAAATTTGGCAGGACTCCCTTTAGTAAAAAGCAAATAAAAAGTGGCTGTGTCATTTTAAAAAAAGGGTTAAGGGAACCTTCAGCAGAAATAAAGATGCCAGAAGAATCTGTTGCCTTCAGAAAACACTTATCAGCATTTTGTCAGAAACCTGATTTCCCTCTTTCTTCATAAATTACTGAAGATGGGGGAAAGTAGGAATAAATGATGAATGAAAGACCTTAATTAAATACTAAAAAAAAAAAAAAAAAATAGAAAAGAGGGACTTGGGGCACTGTATTTCAATTCAGCCTCTGACAGGATTTCACAAGGACAATATTTTATTCCCGTTTTCTACTGCAAATGAAGTGCTGCACTGGCAACCTTCACCCCCTGCTCAAGAGGGAAGGTGGGAGAGTGGAAAACTTTGGAAAAAAACACCTCTGAGGGGTCATTTTGGAGAAAAAATCCAGAATAAAGAGTTTTTCTGAGCTCCCAAAGCTGTGGGAGTTGTGAGTGTTCCCCCCAGCCCTGCTCGGTTGGGTGGGATTTTCCTGGGAGCTGAAAATCAGGGAAATTCAGTCACTGCAGGAAAAAAGGGTCCTGTGGACAAAAAGCAGAGGTTGTGAGGGGAAGCATCAGGCAAAGGGACCTTTTTTATCTTCATCTTTGCATCTCAGAAGATGAGCCCTCCTTTTTGGGTGGGTTTAAGCAGGAATTGGGTTGGTGAGGCCTTGAGCACCACAGGGTTGGATGTGCATCCTCAGGCTGGGCAGGAGGCAGAACAAATGTGGTGTTCCTGACCCTCTCCTGCTTGCAGACAACATTTAGGGGCAAAAAAACCTCGTTAAAGTGATCAAAAATATCTCTCCAAACACTTTCAGAGCCTTAATATATTCTACCCAAAACAGCAGGCCTTTAACACCTGTGTGGGCCTGACAGGAATAGCTGCTCCCTGCCAAAAAAACAAACAAACAAACAAAAAAACCCAAAAACACAATCAGCTGCTGGTTTTGGATTATTCCTATTAAAAGCTCAGCCCAAAGAGGCTGCAAAGGTGCCTCCCAAAGCAGCATTTTATCATTTTGGGTTCACAAACACAGTGAGAGTTCTAAAAAAACATTCTCTGAGCACTTTTCCTTCTTTCCTTTCTCTCCCAGCTCCTTTCAGCTCTAATAAACAAGGCTAATAGACAGCTCCAGCCTGAGATTTACTGCATTTAGGGCTGGCAGCAGAGCTGGATTCCTCCAGAGCTGGTCTGTGTTCAGCCCCAGCCGTGGGCTCGGGGAGCAGAGCTGAAATTCCCTGTTCCACAGAGCAAGGCTCCAAAGTGTCAGCACAGGGGCTTGGAACTCATTCAGAAGTTTTTTTAATAAGATTCCCAAGAGCTCCTTTTGGGTTAGGGCAGGATTTATGGGCTTAGAGAGGAGAGGCTCAATACATTTTATCAGGAATCCCAGCTGGAGGGGAATGGCTCTTTGGGAGACAAATGGCAGTGGCCGGGGCAGTGCCAGGGAGCTGGCTCCTGCAGCTGGATGTGCTCCTGTTCCCATTTCCCCATCACAACCTGAACAATTCTCCTCCTTCCCTGAGCAGTCTGCAAGCTGGAGAAAGGGTGGAGAGGCTGGATTCACAACCCAGCTTGCAGTGTTCTCCTTTGCCCTAAATATTTTGGACCTTTAGGCAATTCAGAAACATTTCCAAGGCTTTTCCTTCAGCTGCACCAGCAGGAAGCAGAGCCTTTATCCCATAAAACCCCAGAAGCTCCCTGATTTTGGGGCATTTCACAGAGCAATCAGTGTCAGGAAGCTTCTGCAGGATAATTCAGGTTTATTGGTACAGGGACCAAGGTCCCACAGGACGGAGGGCACTTCCATCCCAGCAGGAATCCATCCAGGATAATTCCTTGGAGACTGGGCAGCCTCTTCCCAGCAGGGTTTTCCTGGGAGCTGAAAATCAGGGAAATTCAGCCACTGCAGGAGAAAGGGGTCCCATGGGCCAAAAGCAGAGGTTGTGAGGGGAAACATGCAAACCAATCCATCCTGGAGATTTTTAGGCTTTTGACTATGGATTTCTTTCTTCCACCCTGACTCAGCTGGAGCAGAGAGGGGGGTGAGACCTGTGTAGTTCAACAAATCAATTGATGAATTTTCTCCCTGACATTCAGGGTCTGAGTCCTGGGCTTATCGTAAAAAGGCACTGCCAGAGGATTTTAATAAATCCCTTTAATTAAGTGATATGTTTTAGAATTAAATTATGATGAAAACCATAAATCCTTTCCCAACAAATGGAGTTCAGTGTGCACAGAAGGAAAAGGGCATTCCTCTTGTATCTTGCTGTTTTTTCCACCCCTTAATACAACAGGATTCAAAAATTCATTATCAAACAATACAGGAAGCTGGGCCATTTATCACCCTGCAATCCAGGCTTTTAAATTAGTGGGATTTAGCCTTGCACTAAGTAATCCTGTGCCAGCAGAATGCTTGAAATTTTTTTTCCCTTCCCACCTGGAGCTTTGTTCTAGAGGTAATTCCCCACAACTGAGGCAGGTCTGGAAACACCTTGGAATGGAGGTGGCCCAGCCTGGGATGGATCTCTCCATGGGATGCCTCAGCAGCATTCCCTCTCCAAATTCAGGGAGAACAGGAAAAATCCTCAGTTTAATCAACTGACCAGATCCAAAGGTGGGGAAGAGAGGAGGTGAGATGAGCTCCTTGCTCCAAACTGGGGGTTTGAGGATGTGGGAAATGGGAATTCCAGGAGAGAAAAAAATGTGTGGCTGTGCTGCTGAGGCTGTTCCTCAATTCCTGCTGAGGCTGTTCCCCAATTCCTCCTTTATCCTGGAGATTGAACAAAAAGGGAAACCTTGAGCAAGGGCAGCCAAGAGCAGGAATTGCATGAAAACAATTTTGGGGAAAAAAACCCAACCCCCAAACCACACACAGAGCCCTTGCACGGAGCTTTCCCTGCGCCAGGGGCTGCTTTATCCATCACTTTATCCATCATTTTATCCATCACATTCGGGGCTGGGAAGCGAGAGCTGCCTCAGTGCAGCACAGAAAGTCAATAATGACGGGAGGGAAACTCAACAACAGGAGCAATCGCTCCCCCAGACGCTGCCTTGTCACAGCAGAGGCAAACAGAGGCTCTTTGTTCACATATTTACCTTTCCCCACCATCATTAGAGTCACTGCATAAATAGGAGGGTTCATTTTCCTCTCCCTCCTCCGCTGGGATGGAACTGCAAACAGCTCAGGGTCCCTGGCTGCTGTCGTGCCCTCCTCCAAAAAGGCTGATGGTAATTTCAGGAAGAAAGAAAATAATAATAAAAAAAAACCACAAAAAAACCCCCAACAAATCTCCCATTAAAATCGCTGCTGAAGGTTGCAAACAAGGTGAGAAAAACCCACACAAATAAAAGAATGCTGTACTGAGAAAACAGAGGCTCATAAGAGCGACTTTCTCAGCATTAACTCCTCTGTTGCTATAGAGGGAGCAGGGCTCTGCTGCTATTTCTGGGCTCCTCCAGGACCAAGAGCAGCACTTGCCACACTCCCTGCTTCCACTGGCCGAAATGTGGCTCCAACACAGAGCAATTTACCACCAAACCAAACAGTGCTACAGCCACTGCAATTTTTCTCATGAATCTTCTCTAGACAGAGAAGTCTATAAATTCCCAGAAATTTGTTCACATTCATTAAAAAACCCCAACAAGCCCAAGTTTATTATTCTAATTAATTTTTAAAATCCTAAACCTCCCTCAGCATTTTATTTTTTTTTCTCCTCCATTTTCCAAATGTTAGCAGAACTAAACCTCCTGCCTTACCTGCACCTGACTCCCTGAGCCTTCTCAGCTTGCAAAGGAACACAAACTCAGGAGCTGCTGGGTTTTTATGGGGCTAAAGCAATGAAGAACCCCACCTGAAGAAAGCCTGGTTTAGTACCAGGTGTCTCTGAATTAACCCTCTCCAATCTGGGGAATTATGCAAATTTGAATTATTTTCAAATGGATTTTCTGTTTGTTTTTTTTTTTTCTTTGTTTTGTCACAGCATCACCTCTCCCAGAGCAGGGGCATTTTGCACAGGGACACTCCTCCATGTACATTTGTCACCTCTTATTGCCAGCAGTCCCTCAATCCCAGACTTCTGCTTCTGGCAGCATGAAAAAAACCTACAGGAATCACAAGGTGAGACCAAGAGCGACAGGAGCTGCTGTTTTCCTGCTCCTCTGTGAAACCAAAGGTCATAAATCTCCCAGTTAAAATTCTCTTGATTGATGAAACACAACCCGTTGCTGGTAAAACACCCTTGTTTTCAATAATTAATATACAAGATACCTCGAAGAAAGGCAGGGATCTGGCGGAGGGGATGGTGCAATTATTGTTTCATTAAAGATTGATTACATGTGCGGCCAGTCATTTGAATAATGGCTGTGCTGACACCTGAAATGGAATGATAAATGAGCCTGGGGTCACTGCATGCACAGGTTGGCTCTGGAATGCCAGGGAGAAGCAGCAGCAGCTCTGCAGCCCAAAAGGTCAACTGAAATATTAAAGAGCTGAAGATCAAGTAACTGTGAATAAGGTCAAACACAGTGTTATGGTGACAGGAGAGGAATTAATTGAGTGATAATTGTCCTGCGTTTATGCACTCATTTTTATTTCTTTTTTTTTTTTCTTTTTTTTTGGGAAAGAGAGCTGAAAGAATGGATGTTCAGGGGGTTCTGAACACACACAGCACAAGGGTTTCTCTGCTCAGAGATGCCTGTTCTAAGTGAGAGGAGCCATCTGGGAGAGGGAGCTGCCACCGTGGTGGTGTCATCTGCTCCTGGGAAAATCTGGGAGGGACAGGAGCCACTTCTCCCTGATCAGCTGAGCTGTGCTGTGTCACCTGGCCCAGCACCAGGGGTTGGAATGGACAGGAATGAGGTGGCTTTTCCAAGGCTGAATCCTGGCAAAGGCTGGGGCCAGCATCCCCTGACTCCAGAGTGTGATGGATCCCCCCAGGCAGGAATTCCCAGCCTGGAATGAGGAGGTGGGATGCTCCTTGTCCCCACTCACCCATGGTCCTGAGTGAAGCAGGTCCAACCTTCCCAGCCCTGGATTTCCTGCAGGAGGAGAAGGAACCCTGGACTTTCTGCAGGAGGAGAAGGAACCCTGGACTTTGTGCAGGAGGAGAAGGAACCCTGGACTTTCTGCAGGAGGAGAAGGAGCTCTGGAATTTCTGCAGGAGGAGAAGGAACCCTGGATTTTCTGCAGGAGGAGAAGGAGCTCTGGATTTTCTTCCTTGGTAGCCCCTGCCCACCCCCATCCCTGCAGCTCCCGGCAAGGACACAGGGAAGGGAAGCAGAGAGGGGGGGACAGTTTGGGACAGTTTGGGACAGTTTGGGACAGTTTGGGACAGTTTGGGACAGGATGCAGCTCCAGTTCAGCTCAGGGCCCGGGCAGGTGAGGGATGCTCTGTTCAGAAGCCAAGGCCCGTGTGGCACCCAGGGCAGGGCCAGCACCTTGCACTCCCTGAGCCTCCAAACCACCCCTGGGTGTTGACTGTGTCTGGGTAAAGGCACAAAGCCCACGCCCCTGAGGCTGCAGCATCCTGTGCGTGGAACATTCCCCTCTTCCCCACAACAAAGTGAGGAGCAGCCTGGCTCCAAGGTCATCCTGCAGCCAGGAGTTTGCCAGGCAGGAGTTTCAGTAAGAAAGAACAAACACATGCTGGAAGTAAATGCCTTAATTATATTAATGATTGGTTTTGCCCTCGACTGCAGCGCTAAGGAGACCCTCTTCTATCAAAGTCAATTAAAGGCTTGCTACTCTCCTAAAGCCCAGCAATAAAACAAGAGCTGTACATATCCATTAAGCTGCAGTACACATCCATTAAAGTCGCTTTTGCTGCTGCAGTTCATTTACTGGCAGGCTTGGCCTCGATTCTGCTCTCATTTCTGTGGGTTTTACCCTGGTGTAACAGCAGGGACTTGGCAGAGTGAGCCCAGCTGATTTACTCCAGCCCAGTGCATGTCCAGACGTGGTTACAAAGGGGATGAGAACGTTACTCCCATCTCAGACACCTGCAAATAATCGCTGTGCATCAATAAACCCCGGAGATTAACAGCAGCCAGGCAGTTCTGAGCACACACACACAAATCTCTGTGCCATGCTGGGAGTGAATTTCTCCCCAAGATGGAAAAGGTTTCTCCCTCAGGAAGTTTGGGAGGAAGAGGAGCAGTGTCTGCAGCTCCTCCTGGATCCTGGGAATGGAGCTGGAGGTGATGCTGAGGGTGACAATGAGCTGGGCCAGCTGCACTAAGTTGATTTCCCTCTGGAAAACCAGCCCAATTCCCAAAACAAAGCAAATCCCGAGCTGGGAAGCTCCAGACCCTCATCTGTACTCAGTTATTGAACTAAATTACTTATAAAATGATTTTCCCCCCCTTTTATCACACTTGGCTGGAAGTTCCTTGTACCAAGGGAAGCAAGTGTGGGTCAGAGTTTCTCCTCAGTGTTTTATCAGACACCAGAACTTCCCTGGATCTCACTCTGCTCTCAGCCAACCCTTCAAAGATCAACCTTCACAAAGGCATTTTGAGCTTCCCCGCTGCACTAAGATTAAATTCCAGTCTCACTTCCATCCCCAGAGAGCTCCAGCAGTGCCGTGGGAACAGAAATTCTCTGTTCTCTCCTGGGAGTTCAGGTTTTTCCCCGCAGACAGTGCCAGGGAAGATGCTGCCGTGGCAGACACAGCTCAGCCACCAGCCAGGGATGTAGCACATGAAGAAAATTTAACTTTTCTTGATTAGTGTTGGTATTTCAAAGAGCTCTTGGGGAATGTGCTGGAGCAGTGCAAGACAAGGTGTTGAAAACATCAGCACTTTAAAAGGTGCCTTTGCTTCCCTCAGATTTCCTTAAGAAGAAGTCTCACAGCAGTTTTCTTAAAAGGAGCTGGAGATAACAGGGAAGCAGTAAAAAGGTAGCAGAGGGAATGGAGAAATCAGTGTTTGCCTGTGGGCAGAGCAGGGGGATGGCAGGGGAGCAGGGGACACTTCCCTCAGCACTTGGGATGTCCCAGAGGGGGAAGATTCCAGCTCAGCAGACCCCAAAACATCTGTCCCTTTGTCCCTTTGTCCCCTCCAACAGGAGGAAGATTCCCAGCCCAGCAGACCCCAAAACATCTGTCCCTTTGTCCCCTCGTCCCTCTGCCCATCCCCAGCTCCCTGTGCCTCACCCCAAGGATGCCCCTGAAGGAATTCCTGGGTGGAATTCCCTCTCCTCCCTCCTGCAGGATGTGTTTGCTCTGCTTTTGGGTTTGGGGCTCTCGTTTTGCCTTTGGCACAGCTGGGAGCACAGAGCTGGAATGTCACAGCCCCTGGGATGAGCAGGGCTGGAATGAAGCTGAGGAAAGGGAAAGAAAAGGAAAGAAAAGGAAGGAAAAGGTCAGCACACCCTTGGCTGTCAGCACAGCCCTGCAGAAAGACCCCGGGACTAATTAAAACTCCAGGCTCCACAGCCAGGAATGCAAATCTTTACATCTGGCCTGGCCTTCATTATCCACCTTGGAGAGCTTCTTCAGGAAAGGCAGAAACAACCATACCCAGCCTAATTGGCTTAATTTCTCTAACTGCCTTCCCCCCTGAGATCTATTTCTAAAACAATTTCCACTGTTCTTTCAATATCCTCTTCTTATCTCCCTATCATCATCTCATTCATTCCAATTTGGAAAGAAGCCCCATGAAAGAACAAAAAACCCCCGAGTTTCTCTTGTTTTATGCAGCACATGATGTGAATTTCCCAACAGCAAAATTTTAGGGTCTCCTACTAATCAATCCTTGATTTCTTTTATTCCTGACTAGGAATATAATTGATATTTTTGAGGCAGAAGATGAATAACAACAGCAGCAGTTCTCCTGTTTTTGTGGTGGAATCTTCTCGGTTTTAAAGTTGAGACAGGTGATTTTTGTAAATCAAAAGTTCAGCTTCAAAGAGGAAAAAATTCACACGCAGGAGGTCTGAGCCACCTCTCCCATCTGTCTCCCACTCTCCAGACCCTCCAGAAACACTTCCAAACTTTACAAAGGGTTTGAGCCGTTTTCCTTCTCAGTGTGGCCTTTAATAATTAAAGAGAAAAGAAGGAAAAAATAAAAAAAAAAATAGAGGTGAGAGCTTTGAGATTTACCACCCCCAATAAAGGCTCTGTACACAGTGATTTACAGAGCCACAGCTCTGCTGGCTCCAGGAGAGAAATGTGTGCCACTGCTTGATTTATGAACACCCAGCTGGCATTTGCAGAACCCTTCAAGCAGCAAACTCTCGGGTCAGTAACTCTGGCAGTGCCCACCCCCGGGCTCAGACCCAGAGCAGACACTTTGCTTGTCTTTATTTCCCTTTTATTTCCCTTTTATTTCACTGCCACCAACGCTGAGCAAGGACACACCAGGGCCACGGACACAGGGGTGGGTGTAATTCCTGATCGTGGATTTGGGCTGGATTTCATGGCATGAAAACCATCAAAGCCAAATATTGATTTTGGCTATTTCAGCTTCCCAGGGTGAATCCTCCATGGATGCAGATTCTGATCCCGGTTCTGAGATGGGGAACTGGTGGATGATACCAGAAAGGAGCTGCTACAGGTGCCTAAATTCCTTTTAACACTCCAGTCTAAAATTAAATCAAAGGATTAAATTTTTCTCTCTTCATTTATTTGAAGCAAAAACAACCAGTTTCAGGTGTGCCCTTAAACTGGAGCCCCTCAGTTCAGCAGCTTCTGAATGTTTTTGGTCCCACCTCTCTGAGGAGACAGCAAACAACCCCCAGGATGTGATGCCTGTGCCAAAAAGGATGTATTCCCTTTTTTTATTGATC